CACACACACACACACACACACACACACACACACACACACACACACACCCTTCCTTCTGGAAGAGGTTAACTATTGTGACCGGTACAATTAGCCCCTTTCCATCTGATAACAACCCCATCTAAGGAATTCACAACCGTTAATTAGAGGCAGCCGGCAATCTTGGGAGGGAAGAAAATTATCATTCAGGCTCTCCACGTGTCTAAACCAAGTTGCTCTGGGGTAACCTCAGTCAGGGAGCCCAGGCCTGAGCAAGGACAGAACAGGATGGAGCCTGCCAGCCCCTGGCCCCTGCCCACTGCCTCTTCCCTCTTCCAGGGCTCCAAGGAGCTGACTAGAGGCCCTGCAGTTGTAAGTTCATTATTAAATCATTTCTCACCGAAAGAAGAAAAGGACTCGAAGCTCCACACACAGTGGTTTTTAAAATGCTAGTCTCTCTTCAATAGAAATTGAATTCACTGGTGTAGCCCAGGGAAAAGCGAACTCCTTCTGCCCCTCCAAATGATTCTTTCAGGCTAATATAGCAGTTAAACCTTCAGGTACATAATAGCATGCTGCTCTATTAGCTGAGGCGATTTTATTCTTCAACTTGCAGCTTCTTGCCTGACAGTTGTCACCTAGACAACCATGTCTCCATGAAGTCAGGAGGAGACTGGGGGGTAGCCTCTGCAGAGCCAGCCAGCCTGATACATCAAATCTTCTGGTGCGAAGGAACCATTCTTGGCTTTGCGATGTGGAACACACTAAATAATGCATTCAACTGTTGTCTACTCAGCTTTTCCTTGCCTTTGACCTTGAAACGCTCCCTCAGCTTCAGGCTTTCCCGTTCTCCTGTTATCAGCAAATCTGGTTCAGTGTGACTGTGTGTGTGTGTGTGTGTGTGTGTGTGTGTGTGTGTGTGTGTTTAACAACTTCTCAACCTTGCAGCTTCCTAGCTAGGTTTTTTTTTTATCCTGAAACAAAAGAACTGCAAAGGCAGAAAGTTCCCTGTCCCAGTGTGTAAGGAGACTCTAATCGGACAAGCCACAACAGGCTCTGGGGACTTAATGAAAGGATGCTATCTTCGTCTACTCCTACGTGGGAAGAGCCCCTGGGTACATAAGAGGCAACTCTCCCGACCAAAACCCACAAACACCATCAAGTCAGGGAACTCAAGGAACAATGGAGCCCCAACAGGACCAAAGGCCCAATGGTTCATTTTCCTTGGAGCCTATGACCGAGGATGTCGGTCCAGCAGCTGGTCCCTCCCAGGATCACCGTGAGAAAGTTCGGAGTGCCTCTGACAACAACTGGGAGATACCAAGTGAACTCGCCTGAGATATCACAGAGGCAGGGAAGGTTTGTTCGCAAAGTGGGTGCATTTCTGACCTGGGGGAACGCATCAAACTCCACAGACAAAGCAGGTTTCCTGTATCCATATGGAGTGTCTGTGCGGTTTCCCAAGCTCTCTTATGGCCTCTGGGAATAGAACACTGAACAAGGCCAGTAGGATTCCTCCCTGCCCAGGACTGGCACGGTGCACAGGTGTATGTTGTAAGCTTCATTTTTGAGCATCAGTGACCAGTTAAGTATTTGCTGGTGATGCATGCAAAGTGAGTAGGGTGGGCTGGGGCAGCAGGTCACTTGTGGTAATATATGAGGCCAGCCGAGCATCCTATAATCCAGACAAAACATCCTGCTCTGCCAGTTCTTAAACTGAGTCTTCAGGGTAACTAAAGCTCTACAAGGTAGACTGTGGTCTTCTGCAGGTGTAGGGACCGTACACACCATCTGCCTAGGGACAGTCTCTGTGGATAACTGCCCAGTTGCACGCCGGAGCCAGTTTTCCCTGACTTACAAAGGCCGATTGTGCAAACCTCTCATTCCATGTTTGATGACACCATGTTGCTCGCTTGAAATCTGTGCCATTGAAACCAGCCGCAAACCAGGGCCTCGATTTGTCTTTTCCTTTGAAAACTCATTTTTTAGCATCTACAGTAGTTCTCTGTTATCCAAAGGTTTGCTTTTCACAGATTGTCTCACACACAGTAAACCACAGACCCAACACATCAACGGGAAAGCCCAATAGATAAATAAGCATCTCACAAATTTGAAGTTGTGTAACATTCTGAATACCTTGATAAAGTCCACGTCTCACTCAGAACATGAGCAATACCCCTATTTAGTATATTCATACTGCATATGCCATGGCCCCATGGTCAGCAGCCACCTTGGTTATCACATCAACTGTCGCAGTAGCACACTGCTTATAATGACCCTCATCTGACTTCATAATGGCCCCAAATCTCAGTAGTGCTACCAACTGGGAAGAAGAAAGACAAAGAGGACCGTTCTTCATTTAAGTGAAAACACGAGGTACGGTAGGGTATTTTGAGATACAGTGAACACATCCTCAAATTTTCACTACAGTATGAAGCTACAACCATTCTCTTCTATTATTAGCTGCTACTCTCTTACTGTGCCGAATTCAAAAATTAAACTTTATCAAAGCCAGGCATGGTAGCACATGTCTTTAATCCCAGAACTCGAGAAGTAGAGGCAAGCAGATCTCTATGAGTTTGAGGCCAGCCTCATCTGCATAGTGAGTTTCAGAATAGCCAGGATTATGTAGAGAGATCCTGTCTCAAAAAACCAAAATATAAAATAAAGAGCCAAGAATTTTCAACTTTATAATAAGTATGACTATGTTAAACACAATCAAGTTCAGTATTATCCATGGCTTTGGGCATCCACTAGGTGTCTTGGAATGTGTCCACAGAAAGAAAAGGCTGCTGTGGGAGAAGCATCTCTCCTTCCAGCATAGATAGATACTCAGCTTATGAGCTAGGTTGTTGGAGCAGAATGGTACGATCTTCTTCAACACAACACATGACCAGAGTTCTCTTTCTTTCCATGTCAATTGGAAGAAGGATGAGTGTCTGACCCACATTAAACCAATCCAAAGGCTTTTAAAGGTCTTTCTTTTCACTCATATGTATACAT